GACTGGGGGACAAAAGAATGCTATTTTTAAAATTCAGACTCACACCCCATTATCATCACAGAAGCTAAGTGCCTTTGGTGTATCCTCTTATATGAACCATTGCATGTGTTAGAGAAGTGTAGTGGGTGCATGTATATGTTTGTTTGTAGTCAGCCTTATGTTTGTTTTGTGCTGCTTTTTCTTGAAACTAAGTTTGTGAACGCAGCATTTTTGCATAGAAAAGTATGATAAATACTACTGGGGTCAGTTTCCTTGGGCTTAACTGGAAGAATCAGACTACTGATATCGTAAAAGTTTTGCCAAGCATTATAGCTGGCCATACACCAGCGCACTGCTGCTGATGTGCTCTAAAAGGTAAAGTGCTGATGAGACAATCCCGGCACATCACACAGTTTCTTTTTTTAAATTTTTTATTGGAACTTTATTGAAATGTCACAAGTCAAATTTAATTAAGTTCTATCAACACAGTGCAATGCATTGCACATTTACTGCATCACACCATGCATGCAGTATTATTTTTCAGCACACACCAAAGCAACATGTTGGTGTGAACTGAGCCAATTTAAAACAAGGCAACTTGCCTTGTCTGTCCAATGGGGCTGCACTGGAAAAGTGCCCTAAACTATCAGTTTTGCCTTTAAACATACATCATTGTGTATAATTACATGATGCGCTCATCCAATGGCTCTTCTAGATCACAGGTCACAATGCCATGATAATAACTCTGCAGCAGATCATTGACCGGTTACCCCTGGCTGGCCCCAGGTATATTAGGAAAGCAAGCATTCAAAACCTTACAAACATAATACATTACACACAAGGTTAACAATGTGCATGAACAACTAACATATATACCTTTTACAATATAGGTAAATATGGAAAAATGATGTCATTACAACATAGGTTAACATAGGTTATTTACACAGACCAGTTTTTTTCCATCAGAAAACCTCAATGCAAAGGTAGAAACCTCCAACTTTTTCATATATTCCCCCAAAAAATCACTATCTGCAATTATCAGTCATCCTTATTTGTATCTAGTTCCCTCCATCTCCAGCTCATAAGGTGAAATTTCAAATCAGGCAGGCACTATGAAATGTTGGCAGATGAGTATTATAGATGGACTCTAGACAAACAGTGAAAAATATGGTTGAAATGAACAGATATGCACATTTTTTTACTTGCTAATTGTTTTGTAATTCTGTTCATTACGTCTTTTGATTTAGACACCCCTACCAGTCAGCACTGATTGGTCCTTGACCTGCATGCAAACACTGGTGATACAGTGACCCTGTTGCTATAAGCTAGCCATGTAATAGGGAGACAGTATATACTTACCTTTCCTGCTGCCCACGCTGCCAAACACCCTTCCGTTTGGTAGAAAGGGTCCCCTGAAATGGACGCATCCTGGAGTGTTCATCTTCTGGGACCCCTGCAGCTCTTACTGCTGACCTCAACATAATTACTGGGTTCTGCAGTAACATGGAGGTCAGCAGGAGGAATCTATGAGAGCTGTGGGGAACCCATGAAACCCATGAGATTTTCTCCTGGAAATTTTATTTTTTCTGTAAATTTTGGGGGGCCACTTCTACTGAATAGAGCTGAGTTTGGTGGAGCCAGTGGCAGGAAAGGTATTTACAGCCTTTTTTTAGGAGTTTGGGTTCCCTGGAAACTTCCAAATTTTTAATAGTTACACATGCTTTAGGTGCAGAAGCTACCCCAGCATTTCTCAATCAGGGTGTCATGGCACCCTGCGGTGCCATCTGACTTCCACAGGGGTGCCTTGAAATTTCTGCACAGCATTATTCATTGCCATGGTGCATGTGGACTGGCCGCCAGTACCATGAAGACAAATTAAGAAGAACAGATATTCCCCAGGCCTGCTCTACCTCCCGCTCTTTGCCATGCTGCTACAGCCCAGGCTCTATTGTAAAGGTAGGGCTCTGATGTGAAGAGAGGACTGAGACTCTAATGTGAAGGGGCCTCCTGGTTTCAAGAGGGGCTTCTGATGTGAAAGGAGGGGACTCTGATGTGAAGGAGGGAAGTCCACATTATTTTTTGTGTTTTTGCATGGGGTCTCCCTCCCCTTGAAATCCAGACAGGGGCAGACTGGGCCAGGGGACAGGGGGGCAAAACCCTTCTGGGCCTTTCTGCAGGTGCCCGGGGCCCAGTGGATGTCCAGGGAGCCCAGCTGCAACTTCCATGCTACTACAGTAAACGAGAGAGATAGTACAATTGGTCAAAGCTGTGTATCTGTCTATTACTTGTAGGCATTTGGTGTCCGATGAGAAGAGACATGCCAGTATAAACAATGCCGATGTGGTGGCTTCTGTGTACCTATTGCAATTCCTGTCAATGTCAAATGAAGGGAGAAGGGGACCAACGCTGCTTCTGCTTCTAACTGAAATCTCACAAAAATACACTCCAAGACACATGTATGTTTGCTTCTCAATTTTTTTTCAGTGCGTGTGATGCGGATCTTGAGGCCTGTCTGAACTCTGTCAGGCCCTTGCACAACCTGCAAATAATGTGCGTGCCCCTAAATAGATCACTGAGGTGTTGGTACAGAAACAAATGCCTTATATGAGGTCTGCGTATTGTATGTGAGCTCCGGAAAAATGGAAAGTGTGAACTGCTACCATGTGGTGCCTCCTGTCGCCTACCTATGATGGATCTAGATATCCCCCTAAAAAGGTCACTGAG